TTTATATTATATATTTTGGAACTTACATTGTTATTCATGTTATTCATTAGTTTCCTCCATCTCCATCAGGTCTATCACCATCCGGTCGGTCACCACCCGGTCGGTCACCATCAGGTCCGTCACCACCAGGTCTATCACCATCCGGTCTTTCACCATCCGGTCGGTCACCACCCGGTCGGTCACCATCAGGTCTGTCACCACCCGGTCGTTCACCACCAGGTCTGTCACCATCCGGTCGGTCACCACCAGGTCCGTCACCACCAGGTCCGTCACCACCTGATCTGTCACCACAAGGTGGTGGACCTCGACCAGGTCGTCCTCGTCTTCGTGGACGCGAACCATTGCCGCCTTCGTCTTGTGCAAGTACCAGTGCCAAGCAGGCTGCAAACATTAACAAGAGTACAATCTTTCCCATCGTTGTGTATTCAAGTTCAACAAAATGAATGATGAAATACAAAGAATAGTTTGGATTTATATAGAAGTTCGGATGTAAAAATATATCTCATTATCCTCTACATTTGTCAAGCCATACTGTTCGTTTCACAAAACTTTTTAATAAATGCAATTACTTTCTCTTGCGATGATGGTAAAAACTTGTTTAAAATTTATGTTCTTTCTCATGACCCTGTTGATTAAAAACCCTCAAGATAAATATACGAGTCTTTACTGATGAAAAAGCTGTTAATGCCACTTCCATTACAGAAATATGGCTTTTAAACAAATTGTCGGACATGTCTCAGTGACAATTATCAGGATATGGTCAAGGAAACTTTCTATGAGGAACATTTTGATTTCTCATGACCCTGTTGATTAAAAACCCTCAAGATAAATAAATATATTTGACAATTCTTATGGAAATTTTAGTTGAACCCAAACATGCTACATGTGAGTGCGTTAAAAGCTCCAGTAAAGCTGGGCGACCACATGAGAGTGTATTCTATGAGTCTTTACTTATGAAAAAGCTGTTAATGCCACATCCATTACAGAAATGTGGCTTTTAAACACATTGTCGGACATGTCTCAATGACCATTATGAGAATATGGTCAAGGAAACTTTCTATGAGGAACATTTTGATTTCGGTCATATTCAAAATAATAAACATAGGGTATACTATTGCCAGGTTAAAATCCGACTGACTTGAGTTATCTGAAAACAATAAGACATTTTGTAATCCAGTAAAATATTATCAACATGAGAATGTAGTCTATGTCTGAAAAACAGGCACTATGCCTTACTCTCCTTTACTTAGAGAAAAGATTAATGAGAATAATGAATGGGAGCCAGTAATTGTTGTTTCTAATCGTGTGGGGCGAAAGACTGAGGCTGGCCAGATTTTGTGGCATTCCCATTCCAATTCACCCACTTTCAATTTGTTATGACTATCCATGGGAAGGGGATTGCTTATGAGCTTCCTGTTATAATGCTTTGGTTCTACCCGACCTCACACCCGCATCTATAAGTCTATAGAATTATAAGAATAACAATGACAGTATAACTCGTCTTTATTATACACCATTTATTGGTGGGTCCCCTTCCTATCTCAGAGTAACAAAATGCATATAATGGATTTTTTGGACAATTTCCACATATTACCTACCCCCGTATTTTTTCGATAAATGTGTGGGCTATTCTTCTCATCAAAATTCTATATTTAGAAAGTGTCTACATTTTTAAGAGGAAAAACAGACCAAGAATTGACAGATGTAAAATATAATGAGAAATATTTTTGCACAGGAATTTGTATATAAAGTCAGAACTAGAATTTCATCATTTCAATTCGTTGAACTTGAATAGACTTCAATGGGGAAAATGTCTCTCTTGTTGATGTTCGCAGCTTGTTTGGCTCTGTTCCATTCTCAAGAAAGTGATAGACAGGAAAGACGAAGACCTGGGGGTAAAAGACCTGGTGGTTACAGACCCGGTGGTGACAGACCTCGTCCGAACAGACCCGGTGGTGACAGACCTAGTGGTGACAGACCTGGTGGTGACAAACCATGAAGTGACAGCCCCGGTGGTGATAGACCCGGTGGTGACAGACCCAGTGGTAACAGATCTGGTGGCGATAGACCGGGTGGTAATAGACCTGGTGGTGACAGACCCGATGGTGACACACTCGGTAGGGATAGACAGAGAAGAAGAGAGTAAAAATTCAAGGTGGGTTGAAGGCCATTTTTGAAGAATCACTTAATCATATCTTTTACCTCATGAACACCACCCTATCATAGAGCAATAACACTTAGGTCATTTCAAAATGAATTGTTTCTGTTTTAAATTGGTTTTTTACCGATGTTTTATAGTTATAAAATCAAACAGCAGAAACTTGTAATAACCAGTGAAGCCAACTATTTCTTTCTATATCTGTACAAGTACATTGAAAAGGCATTGATATTAACATCATAGAATGTCATTGATTTCCACATCGAAATTTGATTTTTTTTTTATTTCTTTCAGTTTCCAGATGCACAAAAATACTAACAAACAAAATGATTGAAATTAAAAGCAATAAATAACTATATTAAAACACGTTATTGTTACTATTATATCGTTAGTTCTCTGTAAAGGAAAACATCAAAAATTTAAAAACTTCCTGGTGGACCGTTTAATACATGTATTGGCGACGAGCATGTCTAAAAAAGGCACAATTGTTTTTTTATCAATCGTTGATTAACTTAGACCAAAACACCTGTCTCTGTTCCAGCCTAAATCTATAAGACACTAACAATGATAAACCTAGATTTTAAAATTGCCCATAATGTGGTATGGAATATGGTAAAGCTGAATGGAATAGGGAAAGTCGACGGAGAGATGTGCCCAGTATGCAACGAGGAACCCGAAACCACTGAACATCCTTTCGTCGACTACTTAGATCTTAGTCTGTTTATGTATTTACTTCACCAAATGTTGTCTGATATTTTACCTTTTCATTTTTATACGCCCGTCTGTCAGTCGGTCCGTCGCTCCGTCCACAATTGCTCGTAAACACAAGACAAGACACAGTTCTTGACGAATTTTGACAAAACTTGGTATGAGAGTTCATAGTCACCCAAGCATGAACCCTATTGAAAATGAGAAGAATCGAAAAATATTTAGTATGAATTATTGCCCTTGTTCTTGAGAACGCGTTCAATTTTTAGCTCGTAAACGCACAAGGCACAATTCCTGATGGATTTTGACAAAACTTGGCATGAGTGTTTGTTATCAACCAAGGATAGTCCCTATTGAAAATCAGAAAAATATTTAGTATGAGTTATTGCCCTTGTTTTGAAAACGCGTTAAATTTTTAGCTCGTAAAAACTCTAGAAGGCACAATTCTTGACGGATTTTGACGAAACTTGGTGTGAGTGTCCGTAATCACTCAAGGATGAACCCTAAATATTTAGTATGACTTATTGCTCTTGTTCTTGAAAAAAGTTTTCAAATTTAGCTCTTAAACACTAAAAGGCATGATTCTTGCTGGATTTTGACAAAACTTGGTTTTATTATTCAGTCTCGCGCTGAAGATTGAATATTTGTCTTCTAGAGTTTTCATGAGCTAAAAATTGAACACGTTTTCAAGAACAAGGGCAATAACTCATACTCAATATTATTCAGTATTGCCCTAAAGAGTTCAAAAGAAGTGTATGACTGAATATGGTTAAAAATTTCATACAGGTGATTGTTTCTGTACTGCTAAATATTTTTATTCAAAATCAAAGCTGCCAAGCTATCTTTGATGAATCTTCTCAATGCGACAATCCATCAGAGGTTCGAATGAAGGCAGACGATTCGGACCCAATTCAGCCAAATTAGAATTAAAATTATCTTGGATGTTAACTACTGCTAATATTCCTGAAAACAGATATTCGAATTTTTTTTCAGACTTTCGAGAAAATCGACCCTTATATTCAATAGGAAAATCGCTTATATTTTTATTTCGGGAAGAGTCTGAAACTACAAGTGCTGTTGCAGGCAGAGGTAGAAAGTTGTAATTTGGCAAAAACAGAATGGTGTGCACATGCAGTACAAATCCTAACTTTACATCTTTGATAGTTTTCCACTTACATCCTGTCAAAGTTTTGGTCTTAACCTCAACGTGTGCAGCTAGACAGTTTAGAACCGTACAGGCTGGTGACCGAATCTACCTTCAAGTGGCCATGGCTCGGCTAATTTTGACCCCTGAGGTATAATTGCTGTTGCAAATGATAGTTTAACATGACCTGTGTCTATTTCGGTCAAATAATGAAATTTTCAATTTTTTCAAATCGACAGTTTCCTCTTTATTTAGCTGTAGCAAGCAGTTATTACATGGTAGAAACTTGAAATTTCGCAGAAAACATCTTCAAATGAATGTGCACATGCAGAGCATATTGTAACTTTACATCTCTGATAGTTCTCGAATGGCAGCCTCTAAATTCTACGACTCTACAGATTTATACATTTTTGTAGAACTAAACAACAAACAAAAAAAAATAACTAGATCCACAGGCTTCGCGAGGTTCTGATGCAGTGCGTAACAGTTTTGATTTTACGCTTAAAACTGTGCCGCAAAGTATCGTACAGTAACATAATTTCCTATCATAATTAAATGGATATAGATCGCCCAAACGCAAAGCATATTCGACAGATCGCTTCAACTCACATTGCATTCAACAACAGTTGAAGGGAGCAAACTACCTTGATCGTTTAGACCACACAAAAAACTTACAAGCGGAAAACCGACTTTTTCAAGATAAAATTCATCAATTACAAATGGCGATAAAATCGGAAGTAAACACCGTACAATAAACTTTAATATACCATTGGAAAGATCTCGTCGAGAGCTATCAAAATTGTTCTGATCACATGATCACCAAATGTCAAGGTCACGATATACGACCCTTTAAAGTATTCATATTTTTCAACCGGAAATAAATAAAAAGCAAAATCAAAATTCAAAAATCGGTTCTCAAATATTATTTACCAATCGATAGTAGATACCATAGATATCAAATTTACACAAATTGGATTACACCCTGAGTCCCCATTTCGATTTATTGAAAATTACGCACAGTTACTATAGAAGAAAGTACAAAATTTTCAAATATTAAAAAGCGCAATTTTGATTGAAATATCTAGTGTTATATATCATTACAAAGGGCAGATGAACACTATTAAAATTCAATAAGAATTTTTGGTGTATGTAAATTAGGTCACGTGTCAGAGCTCTTTGAAGATAAAAATCGTAATTTTCAATCTGCTATAAAACCGGAAGTAACCATTGCACAACACAAAAGAGTATATCACTGGATAGATATCATCAAGTTTTTTGTATGGCTATTTGTAACATATTGCAAAAAGAATTTTTGAAATATCTTCAAAATTCCGGAAGTTGAATTTTATATTTTAGAAGCGAATAGCGTCAAAACCGGAAGTGATATCAAAATTTTGAAAATTTGTTTATGTTCGCAATGAAAGT